AACAAAATAATAATTGTAACTACGATAATCTGTTAATGCACACACGAGAGAACAAGATGCAAAATGTAACATCAAAAACGCACAACGTGTGGGAAGAATAAAAATGAAAAGATTTAAATGTAAAGATTGTAGCAATGTTTTCTTAGGCCGCTCTCCCAAGGCAACAGAAGTAAAAGCAAAAAGAAACAAATGGGACCTAATCAAACTCGGACGCTTCTGCCCGGCAGAGGAAACCACGAACAAAACAAAAAGACAACCTACGAACTAGGAGAAAATATTCGCAGAAGACACAACTGACAGGGGCTTAATAGCCACAATATACAAACAGCTCACACAGCTCAATGATAAGTGGGCAGAAGATCTAAACAGACATTTCCCGAAGAAGACAGACAGATGTCCCAACAGGTTCCTGAGAACACGTTCAACATCACTGATTATCAGAAAAATGCAGAACAAAACTGCAATGAGGTATCACCTCACACCAGCCAGAATGGCCATCACTAAAAAAGTCTACAAATAATAAACGCTGGAGAGGGTGTGAAGAAAAAGGACCCTCCTGTTGCTGGGACTGTGAATCGGTGTAGCCAGTATAAAAAAGAGTATGGAGGTTCCTTAAAAAAACTAAAAAGAGAGTTATCACATGATCCAGTAATCCCACTCCTGGGCATATGCATGGAGAAAACTCCAATTCAAAAAGACACACGCTCCCCAAGGTTCACAGCAGCACTGTTTATATTTACAGCGGCCAAGACATGGAAGCAGCCGAACTGTCCACTGACACGCCGTCAACGGATAAAGACGACGTGGTACGTGTGTACACTGGAAAAGTGCTCAGCCATAAAACCAATGGAATAACGCCATTTGCAGCAACATGCGTGAACCTAGAGATCATCACACTGAGTGAGGTCAGACAGAGAAAGATAAATAAATACCACTTATTGTGGAATCTAAAATACGATACAAAAGAACTTACCTACAGAACAGAAACCAAATCACAGACATAAAAAACAAGGGGAAAGGGAGGGGAAGGGATAAATTAGGAGTTTGGGATTAGCAGTTACAACCTACTACACACAAAATAAACAATAAGGTCCTACTATATAACACAGGGAGCTATATGTACTATCTTGTAATAACATATAATGGAAAAGAATCTGAAAAAGAATATATATGTATAAATGAATCACTTTGCTGTGCACCAGAAACACACTGTAAATCAATTACATCTCAATTTTTTTTTAAAGTAGAGATTTAGAATGCATTCAAACTTAAGTTGTTACCAACTTAAAATAGACTGTTATAAATGTAAGTTGTTTCATGTTGTTTTATGTAAGCCTCATGGCAACCACAAAACAAAAATTCTATGGTAGATACATAAAAGGTAAGGAGAAAGGAATCTGAGCATACCATTACAAAAAAAAAATCATGAAACCACAAAGCGAGCAAGAGAAGAAAAGAACAAAGGAATTACAAAACATTAACCAGGCTTGTGGTGATTATTTCGCGACATGTACATCTACAGTATCATCATGTTGTGTACGTGAAATTAATATGTTATATATGTCAGTTGCATCTAAATACATGCATAAAGCAAGCAACTGACAGGTGGGTGCAAAGGCATGTGTTTAAGAAATCATAGCACCTCCTTTCCAATCAAGATAAGGCAGCAAAGACTGGATTTACCTTGTGCCTAAAACATCCAAAAAACATTTCATGACACTGGACATGAGACAATAAAGGGCTGGGAAGGAGGAAAGATGGGAAACAAGCAAGGGGAGCCCTGCATCTGCCCAACCGTATCATCCAAAAAGAGTCTCCAGGACTCCGCGCAGAGAGGCGCTCAAGCCCAGTGCACACTCTCCGCTGAGGCAGGCTGTGACCCCAGGCCGACCCAGACAGCTCGAGTGGGCAGCACACACACAAGGCTCCAGAAAGCTAAAGAGGGTAACTCTTTACTTAGCAAAGTGCTGACCATTAAGTGTGGGAGAAAACTCTCTGAGTCCAGGGAAAGAGCTGAAAGGATGAGAGATTGAAGTTCAATAAATGCCAAGCAGAAGGACCATGATGAAAACTTCACCAAAGCACATCACAATTCAAAGTGCTTAAAACCCGTGACAAAGTGATAAAGGAAATCACAAAGTAGCTCTAGGGGGGAAAAAATTACATACAGAAAGATAAGAATGACAGCAGAGTCCTTGCCAGGAAAGAAATGCAGCTATGAAAACAGTAAAGCAACAGCTTGGCTAAACTGAAAGGTAAGTAAATGCCAGCCTAGAATTCTATACCCAGAAAAAGTGTTTTCAAATAGAGTCAAAATAAAGACTTTTCCAAACATTCAAAAGCTGACGGAGCTCGGCAGCAGCCAATGAGCACCGCAGAAATGTTAACGGAAGTCCTCCTGGAGGAGGGAAGGGTAAGAGATGAAATCTGGGTCTAACTGGAAGTAACTACGGGCACAAATACCTAAGGCATTTTCCTAGTAAATTAAATCTCTTTAAAGAATAATCAATTATTTAACAGAAGTAGTTAACCACACAACGTGGGCTCACAGCCTCTGTAAAAGTGCACAGCCACAGGACAAAGGTCAGAGAAAAACAATGAATGCGTTATAACAGTGACTAAGGCAATAAAGGTGATAAAACAGGATCATTAAAAAATTCAATTAATCCACACAATGGTGAAAAGGAAAGGGGGGAACAAAAACAGAGCACAGCGAAAACACACGAAAACGAGAGCTTTGTACGTAACAACAGCAAGCACATTCAAAGGCTCATTAAGACTCAACCGTAAGACGGGATGAAAAAGCAAGACCCGACAACATGCTGCCACCAGAAACGTACTGTAAACATAAAGACACAAACAGGTTCGGAATACGAGAATTCTAGGCTGACGGCCCTTTGCTTCCGCACTTCGGAAATGCCATTCCACTGATCTCTGGACTCCACACTTTCTGATGGGGAATCCACTCATTCAAACCATTGCTTCCTATTAATGTGCTATTTCTCCTCGACTTTCAAGAGATGATGATGATGATTATTTTGGTCCTTAGTCCTAAGCATTTTGGTTATGAAGCGTCTGCTCATGGGTTCCTTTGGGCTCATCTTGACTGGTTTCACTGGAATCCTTCATTTATGTCTTTCACCAAATCTGTAAAATCCTCAGCCATTTTTTCGAACAATATTTTTTGAACCACCCTCTTTCTCCTTTCCTTCTGAGATTTTTGCAACACAAACGTCAAGCATTTGAGCATTGCTCCGTAGGCCCCTGGTGTCCAGTTCATTTCTTCAGCTTTTTGTTTGCTTCTCTGTTACTTGGACCGAGGAACTCCTAGCTCCTGTTGCTCAGTCGTGAGGTTCACCCCCTCTTCCGTCATTTCTACTCTGAAACGCTGTGCATTTCCATTTTTCACGTGGGTAAGCGGTTACTACGTCAAGAAGTTAAGGGCGAATTGTTTCAGTTGCCTCCTCTTCTCCTTACTGGTGAGGGAGGGATTCCTTTCCTAGGTTTCTGGGGACGGCCAAACACATGACACTGGACATTGGACACGTATGTGACTGCTAACAGTTTCTCAGTCACATATGCTCACAGCCCAGGGAAGGGTACCACATGGCACGCAGGACCACATGGATACTGTGCTTGGTAACAGGGTGACAAACAGGGTACGAGAGGCAGGCGTTGCAGTGCGAGAGCGTGATGTGCCCCTGGTTCCTCAGGGAGGATGCGATTGGTTTATCTGAATAATTTCATAGTCTGGCAGGCACCTGGAACCCCGTCTCCAGGGATAAGCAGGAATGAGGCCTGGTCTGGATGAGGGGCGTGGTTTGCTGCACTTTGGCCACAATCCACAGCTCGCTGTTTGCCATGTCTCCCGCCCCTGTGCTGGAACGTCAGCTGCAGGGCACCGTGCCCTTCCCTTGTTTGCTCATGACTGTACACCCAGTGTCTACGCCAGTGCACGGCGCAACAAACATGTGCTAAGTTAAGTGAGTAAATGTGCCTGAAACACAGCGTGTGAGCAGAGGCGAGAGAGCTGCTGGGACCCGCGTGCAGGTCTTGTCCTCTGACGCGTACCGCTGACTCAGTCCACCACTGTTTCCTCACACTCACAGCTCCCCAGCTTAAACTGCCTTGCTCCTGTTTGATGCCAACAGCTTTGTAATTACAGGGCAGCTGTGGTACTGCACACGTTTACTCTCTCCTACCAGATTTCAGATGCGCCATCTCCATCTGTATCTGTGTTTCCACCACAGCAACTAACAATGTTAAGTTTCTTGCAAGTAACTCCCAAAACACCCTAACTGGACATAAAGCAAGTGGTCACCGAGCACACTTACCAGTACAAAGAAACGACACTGCAGTGCATGAGGGGCGTTCATAAGTGGACTAGACTTCAGAGGGGTCACTGGGGCATCAGCCCACTCACCCAGCAGTGCTGTCCCCTGCTCACAACACTGGTAAAGGTCTGACGTTACGTAAGTCTCTTAAGAAAAGCAGTCTTATTTTTGTTACACTTTTCTTCTTCCTGAAAACAGTTACGACCTTATTAATCAGATTTGGCACAGAAAGGTCTTTTGCTATTTATGAAAAGCAAATTCACCCTCAGAGGAAAAAGATGAGTCACTGGCAGAAGATATTCCAAAGAATCAGCTCAAATTCTGATGTAAATTCTAAGAAGATTTCGACAAAGGTTATAAACAAAACTTTCCAAAATGACTACTGTGTTCAGGACAACACACACACTCAGGATTTAAAAATCTAACATTACTTCATAGACACACCTTAAAATAGAGTTCCTGGACTCCATGCCAAGGGGCTGCGTTACTGCTAAACACAGCTTACGGTGAGCAGGGCAGGGATGTCCTGAATCGCTCACCCTGGGGACGAGACACAGACAGATCTCGGGACCCCAGTTCTGGTCCTCTGAAACCTGAGCGCTCTAATTCCCCTCCTTCTTTCCTTCTTTCTTTTTAGAACAGAAAATAAATTAAAAATTCATCTTTCTTTCTTCCTTTTTCAATTTGGGGAACAGCTGTTTTATCTCACATGTTAGTTATCTGATAATTCTTTTCATCGGATCCATTTTCTTATCATCCTTTCAGTGTTTCCATGAGTCACTGTGAAAAAGGTTGGCAGGGCCGGACAGGTAGATATTAAATGCTTTTACCTACAGGAATAGCATTTTCAGCAATTCCAAAGTAGAAAACTTAAGTCTTAAAACTGATCTGGGCAGTCTTCAGTTTCACAAAATTAAGGTGTAATTCCTACCTGTACACCCTAATCACCATACATATTGTTTTAAAGATACGGTTAAACACATAACTTTAACCCATTCAGGTACAACATGCCTGAAGTGTTCAAACACCACCTTTGATTTTTACATTATTACTATCACTTCACTCATACAGTAATAACTTACTAACACACACATCCTCAAATGAAGTCCATTTTTTGAAAGAACAACTCCACCGAATGGGAATGTCTCTAAATTCTCTGCATCAGACAAGGAACAAAATTTCAGATTTACTGGGTGATGCAAGACTTCGTTACCAATGTTGGAAAAGTGCTTTCTTAAATGAGCCTTCCAAAAAGCAGCAGCTCACCTATCTTTTTTGTAGTAACAGAATAAATACCAGCTCCTCAGCTCCAAATCCAGGCTGCCCACTAACCCCAACCTTTGTCCAGCTGCAGAGAAACCCAAGGAAGCTGGCATGCAGCCTGGGAAGCCCTGTTCCTTCCTCCACTGGGGTCTGACGGTGTGAAAAGGCTCTCTGAGGGCAAATACATTTATATACCCATATAAAAGTTTCCAAATATCGTTGTACTCTTTCAAGAATGATGTGGCCGCTACAATAATTTAAAAGCTAAGAAATCATATAGAAAAAGCACAGGACACAGCACAAGAAGAGAACACCAGGCAAGGCGCCCTCCATCTTCACACCCCCAGAGGCTAAAAGGATGCACTTTGAATAATAATAAGCAAACAACACAGCACGAGTCTCTTTACCCAAAATGTTGCCTTTTCACTGTTTTGAGGAGCAAATCAAGACAGGCGTGAACAATTCATACCTCCACCAGGAATAATTGCCAACTTTGTTTCAACCAGGCCCATTTTTGCAGAGGAAGCTAAAAAGGAAAGAAGAAAATTAAGTAACACCCACATCGTCAAATTCAAATATGATGACTTAAAAAAAGTTAGTAGGCTATTCTGTTTACTAATTAAATTTTTGTCACGAATCTTTTTAAAAATCCCTTTGGAAGACATTTAGTTATGGAAATACATGAACACTCTAAATGATATCTATTAAGAGATTCACATAACATTTTCTGTTAAAAATTGCTTGGCAGCGAATTAATTTTTTGATGCAGAAAGACCAGGCTGTAACTACATAATTTGACCTGATACTGCCAAGTCATGTCTGAAGGCTCGGAGTTCATTAATTATTCAGGATGAGGAGAGAGGCTGTGTCTGACAAGTAAGAATTCCCTGGCTGCCCGAACAGTCCTCCAGATCAAACAGCTTAATATGTCGTATCAGATATGGCAACTTTTCAAGACCCAGTCTCTAGTTACTCCTGACAAATGGTTTTACTGTTCTGACAGCTGGACAGGGCTCCTCTTTCCATGTTTGTTTTCACGGCTACTTTAAAACATCTTAATTACTTCTTTATTTGCATATCCAAATGTCCTTGGACGACTTCCCATACCCTAATTCCCAGAACTTGCATTCTTTCAGAAATGGATCGCATGTAACTTGACTTTTCAATTTAACACCCAAGGATCTCAGTCAAGAAGACAGAGATATAAAATAGAGTGAAAAGGGGGAACGAACATATGGACTAGCAATGACAAATCCCCAGAAACAACACCATAACATTATTAAAAACATAATTATCCTGACTCTACATTTAACAGGCAGCTCCATCAGAAGGGACGGTGGGAACCAGGGCAAGAGCAGTGACAAACACTGGCTGCCTGCTTCGCCCAGTCCTTGGTCCCGTGCTCTCTGTCACCTCGATGAGGGACAAGGATGCAGACAGCACTGTGACCACACAGAAGGCAGCATCAAGGACAACAGTGGCAGCACGCAGTACTCCGGCTGTGACGCCAGGCCGCCTGGGTTCAAATCCCAGCACTGTCGCTGATGTTAGACTTGCTGCTTCGCCTGTCTGGGCCCGAGCTTCTTCAGGCTCCACAGCGTGTACCCGCTTCACAGGGCCGGGAGGCAGACTGGGTGAGTTAACACACGTCAAGAGCTGAGAAGAGCGACGAGCACCAGGAAATAGCGCGTGGTTAGCACCTGTTGTTTTCCTTCATTATTTTCACAGTCACCTCATCCCATCCTCAGAAAACCTCGCAGGAAGAAAGTGAACCCCAAACAGGTTAAGTTATTATTACCGTAACTAACAACGATTACGGCTTGGGCTACACGTTTATCATAAATGGAGTCATTTCATCTTCACAACATTTCAGAGGGGAAACTGATCTAAAAAGGGCAGGACCCAAGATCCAAAGTCAGGTCTGTCTGACCCAATTCCTGTTTTCCTCTCCTACTGCTAAGACTGAACAAGAGGCTGAGTATAAAAGACTGTTCTCTTACCTGGGAGTTTTAAAACCTCATTAAGCCCAACAAGGTGACTTTTTCTACATGTTTATTCCACAACAGGAAAAAAAATGAGTAAAATATTGGAATTATCGGAAGGGTCAACACAAACCTCATTTTTAAAAAGTTACGTTTTTAATAAAATTAAGTCTCACCTGCTACTCTTATATCACACGCTAAAGCCAGTTCAAGACCGCCACCTAAGGCGAGTCCGTCTATGGCCGCGATGGTTGGCACTGGAAGGTTAGCTGAAACAGAAAGAAAGATTTGATGCTTCTTCAGGAAGAGTGTTACCTTACCATGTAACTTGTTTTAAATATTTTTCTGTGACCGTATTTTTAAGTGGAATATTGTCTACAGGATTTTGTACCCCTTTTACTTTTAACAAAATAAGCATTTTGTTCTTATTCTACGAAAACATGCAATAAATGTGTGGTTTTCCTTCACACGTTTGTGCAGTGTCTTTCAATCTTACCACGTTGCTGAAACACATTCGTAAATATTTTCTGTTGAGCTAACAGAATCACAGTTCTGACTTCATAGTCTGAAAGTCTTTCATGAGATGTTCTGATTCATACAAATTTCGAGTTGAAATGACTTAGGTATAATGCAAAGTTCACGATACTTTGCTGGGCTACCTGGTGCTCAGGATGATGGAGCCTCATTCAAAGAAGTGACACATCTACTCAAACAAGACAGAAGCAGTTTGAGCGGCTGCTGGGGGATCGACCCACTAGATCGATCACCTGGTAACGAGCACGATGCACAGTAGCCAGAAGACAACCAGGCTCTATCAGATCCCGCACACCTCAGGTGGGACGGGCACTGACACGGCTCTGAGAACCTGCCCAAAGGAGGACTGGGAAGGGGTCAGCCAGTCACGAAACTCAAAACCAGACGTTCCTTAGTCATCTGCCTGCCTGATCCCTCCCCCTCATTTTTTCCGGCCTTTCTTTCTACCTGTGGTTATTTCCCAGCCTCCTTCCCCTCTCAGCAGAAGCTCTGCCTAGAAGGTGTCCTCCCCGTCCTTAACTTTTACCGTCCATAACACCAATGATATCCGAACGGCCACCTCAAACCCAAACCTCTCTCTAAACTGTATCTCTATGTCCTGCCTGTTGGACATCTCTGCTTAAATACTTCAGCACGTTCCCATCAACTCCTTGTCAGTCCTTTTTCTAGACTCCATTTCACATTTGGTAGAATCTCCACCACCAGGTTACTTGAGACAGACACCGAGAAGCCATCCCAGATGTCCCCCTTCCTAATGACCTTATGCCCAACTGTTTTCAAAGTCCTGCCTAACAACAGCTCACAAATGGGAACTTCCCTTCCCTTTCCTACAGCCAGCCGTCCGGGTCCCCTCATTCTCACCAGCAGGAGGACCTCCTTCACCTCAGTCTGCCCCTTCCAATGCATGGTCCATGTTTCCTGCAGGAAAATCTATCTACAATGCAAACAGAGTCATGCTATCCCCCTATTTAAAACAGTACAATGATTTATTCCACGTTCAGGATAAAAATAGAGCAAACTTACAGCATGGCACAGGAGGCAGCGGAGGAACCAAGTCTGCCCACCTGCCCAACCTCTTCTCCAACCTCTCACACCTACCCTGTGTTCTAGCCCCAAACTACTTAAAGCACCTCCAGAAGCCATTCCCGTCCACACCTGTGTACAAGCTGCCCTCTGCCTGGAATGCCCAGCAAGCCGAAAGTCCCTTCCTTTACGTTTCCACGGCACTCTGCACATACTGCTCCAGCAGAGCATTCACATCACCTTACTGCCCATCCTGAAGCAAGATTAGCATCACATCAACGCTGATCAGTAACATCCTTCCTACCGCTCTGCGACAGACGTCAAGGCTACCCCCCGTCTCTTCTGTCTCCACTACATTAATCCTGGTATTCTCTCTACTTTTCGTTCTACTATCAACTTCTTTAACTTCATACTTTAAAGAAACCCCATGAGCATATGCAGCCCCCTAGAGCTGCAGAAAAGAACAACTGCAGAGGTCCTAAGTCGGAGGGAGCAACGGGAAGGAGGGGGCTGTTCCCTCCTGGCGGTGTGAACGCGCTGCTCACCCCGGAGCGCCTTCAGCACTCGCTAAGTATCTGCTGGCAGCCGACTCTTCAGAAAGAGAAAACACAGAAGTGAGTTTAAAGGGCCTCCAGAATCAAACCCAGGCCTGAAGTATGTGTACTCCTGACTTCCAGTTTCTGAAAATTCCATCCCAGGGTAAATAAACAGGGGTTATCGCTTATTCCTTAGATTTCTTTTTCCCTAAAAATGGAGATAAATTGATTTGATATATATGGAAAGAGGAATTTTTCTTCACATCAAATTGTGCACTGAAAACGTGGGCTGAATAGAAGGGGAAGAGGAATAAGCCCACTGCAAATTACAAAAGCAACATATGTAACTTCATAAGCCTGAAGCCAAACAGAAAGAACCCAGGAAGGTGACAATCCTGGTCGTCGGTGATGTTCTTAGTGCTGCCACACAAAGGCAGTGGCTGCTCAAAGGGCTGACAAGGCTTCGCTCTACATTTTTATTAGTTAATATCCTCAAAATAAACATTATACTTAAAAATCACAGTTAGCCAACAGCAAGTTAAAAAGCATCATTTTTCCAGTGGTATAAAATGTCAGTAAAAAAGAGAAATAAAAACACAAATGAAATTGATTAATGAATAAACCTTTTCCCTTCACGTGAGAGGTCTATAAACAAACATTACTTTGATGACGTAAAATTGTAACAGAGGAGAACAGATCTGACTGCATACTGGATCTGTTCCTTTAGTTTTGACCACTGTGCCCTGTTTTCTAGGCTCAGTCCTGCTCGCTCTGCACGTTTTGTAAAACAATGTTGCCTTTAGCCTGAAATACCCAGGAGAGCCTATTCTCGGGGCTCTGACCTTTAAGGATGTCAGCATTTCTGCACTTATGTGGAGATGGCAAGTTGCAAAATAGAGAACCACCTTTGTTTTTTTTTTGGAGGTTTACAGGGACACCATGGCCTGACCTACACAGATAGCTGCAAGAACAAAGAATGCCTGCAGCAAGAAGTTTGCAACAACCAACCACACCCCCCTCCCCAGTTTGTTTGGTTGGGTTTTTTTTGTATAAAAGGAGCCTGTATTCTGATTGGAGCAGGATGGTTCTCCAAGACGTTAGTCTGCCATCCTCTGGGTCTGCTGGCTTTCCAAATAAAGTCGCTATTCCTTGCCCCAACACCTTGTCTCCTGATTTACCGGCCTGTCGTGCGGCGAGCAGAACAAGTTTGGACTCGGTAACAAAATGAAGGGGAAAGGGGTATGTCCAACAGCCAGATTTTAGGTTCCACATCACTTAAAGTATGAGGATGGGGTTTATGTAACGCAGTGGTAGGAGAAAGTAAACAAACGTACTGACCCGGGAGATGAGGGGGCTGGGGGCACGGGGAGCTGCAATGGCGCATTTCGTTCTGCGGGTTTTCCTAATTCTGAAGTTAGAGAATATAACACTTCCCCCCCATATGCTTATGCTTTTTGAAATAATGAAAATCACTTTTAAATGTGACAATTAAAGACTTAAAAGACATTTTTCTCAAACAGATAAAAGCTTTTAACATTACAACCTAAAGATAACACAAATGACAAGAAACGTGGGGCTCCTTATATACAAAAAAACAAGGAAAACAGGGTATTAACACTCTCAACTCATTAAACAGGGACAGTGCTTAGTACTTTCAAATATCAGCACAAACCAGCATGATGTAAGGCAGTCTATAAAATCTTTCCTACTGAAGGATTAAGTAGAACAGCTTAATTAGTAGTCAGTGAGTAATTAAATTTTAGCCTTTTACTGTAGTATAAGTCCTGAAGTTCTGCAGAAGCCTAATTTTTCCCTGAAATATGTTTCTCGTATTAATTTTTCTCAGGAGAACATGAGTCATCTCAAAGTCCATGCCAGTTCCGCAATTACCCAATGTGCTTGTCTTGCGTGCACTGTTTCTTCTACTTGGGAGCACTTCACAATCTCAGAGGAGACGCAGTAAGACACACCATCAGAAAGGCAGATTATCAGTTTCAAAGACCCAGGAAATATCAAAACGGCAGTTGTATAAAACAGTGCAGCTGAAACAGTTGTCAGGAGCAATGGCTGTTCCCAACAGCGACAGGAAGAAATCATGACTCAGGACGTTACGCAACCAACAGGACCGCATACTATTTTGAGGTTAGTACCAGGAAATGAGCCAGGTATGACAAAGAAGATAATAATCCTTTGAATGATCCTAAAAATAAAAGTAAAGCCAAAAAGCAAAGGTTTGCTATTTTAAGAGAAAAATAAATGAGTGGCAGGGGAAGGCTCTTGTCTACCCCGGAGTCTGCAGGACACCCCCGAGAGCACAACTGGGGCCAGACGGCCAGGAATGTGGGGAAAAGGCAACTGAGGGTCTCCTGTCAGTTCAGAGGTAAATTCAACACATAATGTAGGTTTTCAGATGTTTCCGGAAAAATACAAACAGTGCAATTATTAAGGAAAAACACTAGCTGTAAATCTGGTTTTGCTTGAAGAATAGTGTTCTTGTAGAAAACAGAGAAATCGAGTATTTCAAAAGAAATGTCCATCGAGTAATACCAGAAGTCTGCCTTTATTGAAATCATTCAAGGAGAACAGAAATAAAATCAAGGCTAACTGAAAATTATAATAAATTGCTAATGACCCCTAACTTCAGCTAAAACTTTACCGCCAGGTCAATGTATTCTCTCCCACTGCCATCATCAACTTTCAAAGGAACCACAAAAAACAAAACAGGCTGGCTGCGCCCTTGGCCCTCCTGGAGCCCAGCCAAGGCCGCTGAGAAAGGAGCAGGCCTGGACGCCAACACGCACACTCACCCCATCGCACAGGGGCTGCAGGGCTGCAAATGGGAGCCATCGCTTCAGGAGTCACAACAGTGACCACTGTGCGAAGCGAGAAAAGCTGCTTGATTTTTCCAAGCCTACCACTTACCCACCTGCCTTCTTTCTTTTTTGCTGCTACCTGTGGATTTAGCAAAATACTTGGAACTGCTTACTATGTGTGGTCACAGGACTAAGCATGTCACAAATACTATTTGAACCTCCTAGCAGTCTTAGGACATCGAAACTATC